CCTTCATGAAAAAGTGGATTTTTAAAGTCCTTCCTCCACAATTCTTAAAATATTTCTCCCCTCTTGTTTGTTTAACTTTTGCATAAACATGTCTATTATTACAATTCACACAAATAAGCTTCTCATTAAAACATTTTCATGAAATAAAAAATAGCATTATTGTTCATGAGAGTTAACTTTGATCAGCACAGAAAAGCCTAATTCACTTCTCCTAATGTTTTGTAATAAAGAACATAAAAATTTCAAAACTAAGTATTGTAGAATAATAAGGAAAATCTAAATGTTGCTACTCTGACTAGATTAAATAATAAAATATTTTATTCTACTTGCATTTGGATTTTTGGGGGGCCATAATAAAAATGAATTATAAGATCTTACAAGAGATTAGCATAAATATTCAATTATGCGATAGCCAACTGTAAACATATATTGTTTGTATCTTCCCAAGCTTTATTTCTAAGCACATTAACATTTATTTTTTAGAGGTACTGAATCTTTTCTATGCTAATTAAATATAATGCATTTTCTGTAAATGTATAATGAGTGCTTTTGTTTTGTCCCAACTCAAATGAAGATTGTAATCTGGTGTGTCAATCGTTCAGAAACGTAAGTGAGACAGTAGTTACTTTCCTCTGTACTTCATTACCACCACTCAGATTCCAGGGCCCACTCTTAGGATGTTTTAAGTGGTCAAATGCATCAAAAATTATGTTGTCTTTATGGATAATCATATATGGACTAACTTAGGACCTAAGTAGGACAACATGACAGCTGGCTATGACTCATGGAAGACTCTGATTTCTGAGACAAATGATATATTCTGCTTACTTATGTGGTAATTGATAGGCCCATGAATATCAGGCAAACTAAATAGGATTCTGAGCAGGTGCCAGGTACTCTCATGGAACAGTACTACTTTGAGTACTGACTGGGCCATGTCTGGGTCAATTTTACACCCTAACCTTGCAGTCATTCTTGATGTAGATCATACGTCCTGGGACCTACCAATTTCTCTACAATCTCATATCCTATAAGACTCTTATTAAATTGAAAGGATTCAACAACTTTATATAGTTCTCATAGAAAGAAAAACTTTCTCATAGAAAAAAAACTGCTGTGATCAGATAGCCTCCATTTTTCTCTTTTCTTCGCAATAGCTATTAACTAAGAGATAGTCAACCTGAGGGACTGGGGGAGACACCTAATTACCTCCTTATATTGAGTACTTAAGAGAGAAATTTAGTCTCACAAAAATGCCTTTGTTATACTCCTCACTTTTGTTACTGTGAAATTGTTCCCTACTACATAAACAAATAATTTATATGAATATTATCATTTTATTATTCACTTTGCTAAGACACTATTGCTGAGACACAATACCTGATACCTGCAATTCTGAGGAAGAAAGGTTCATTTTGGCTTATAGTTTATATAGGTTTTGATCCATAGTCTGCTGACTCCAAAGCAGCATGGCATGGTAGAGAAGAAAGAGTTTATGACAGGCAGGGAGGAAGCAGAGTGAGGGTGAAGGGAAGAATGTGAATGAGATAAACTCTTGCAGGCCACACCTCTAGTAACCCATCTCCTCTGACAGGCTTCACCTGCCAACATCACATTTTGACTAATCCAGTGATTGATGAGTATCATGGTCCCCAAAGCCCCTATGAGAACATGAGGTATTTGAGGAACATAAAATTCCACCCTGGACTCCAAAGAACTCATGCACATCCATTTATGCAAAATCCACTTAGTCCATTTCTAAGATTTGCCAAAGTTTCAACAGTTTCATCATTGCTGAAAAGTTCAAATCCAAAATTAAGGCAAAGTCTGAAATTAAGGCAAACTCTTAGCTGTGACTCCTGTAAAAATGAAAAGAGAGTTAAACACTTCCAACATACAATGGCATAGGATAAATATTCCTACTCCAAAAGGGAGAAATAGGATAGAAAAGCATGGGACCAAAGTAAGACCTAAATCTAGAAGGGCAAACATTAATCCCATCAGTTCCATTTCCAGCTCCTGGGACAATGTATGGGAACATGTGAACTCCAAGGAGCTTGAGCCATTCACCCCACCAGCATTGCAGGTGGTGATTGTAATCCTCATGGCTTCTCTCTTGGGCTGGCTTTTCTCACTCCTTGTAGCTTTCTTTAGATATTCCACATTCCTAGCTTTTCCAACATCCTGAGGTCTCCACTGCATTTTCAGCTTTACTCTCACAGCTTTTGACACTTCCCTGTTAGGAGCATACTCCCTGGTCTTCAAGGCTTTCTTCTCAAATATGGGTGGAAGCCTCCCTGACCCAACTGTTACATTCTACGTACATGTAAAAACAGTATTACATGGATGATGCCAGGGTCTGCTATCAGCTGGAGCTGTAGTCAGGCTCCCTTTTACCATGGCTGTATAGAGTCTCTGAGTGCCTAGATGACTTAGCTCTATGAAACAAAGCCCCAGGAACAAATTCTGTGGGCTGCTACCTTTCTAATGCATGGTGCCCTGGGGCTCTCCCCTCAAACCAAAGTATTTCACCTTTGTGAAGAGCATGGTTCCCTGGGTCTCCCTTCTCAAAGCAAGGTACTTTACCTTTGTGATTTTGAGCCTGCAAACAGTGGGGCCATACTGGTTCCATACATAACCTCAAGGTATCTTTCCTATTGAACTGTTGTAAACTTCAACCTTTGGGTTCTTTTTAAAGCTAATCTTTTCAGCAACCAAGTTCTCTTCTGCTCTGGTTTTCAGGCATCACCTTTTCCAGTTTCCTTTTGGGTCAAACTCAAAACTTCTAAAATCATTCAGCTATGTTGTTTGCTTTTGATTTGCAATACTGAACTGGCTAAAAGCTCCTATCAGTACCCAAGCCACAGCCTGAATGGTTGGGTGCCTTGAAATTTCCTCAGCCAGATTCATTAGTCTGCCACCCTTAATTTAGTTTCCTGCTAAGTCTCCGGACACGAGCAAAATGCAGACAAATTTGCTGCCAGAGCATAACACACATGGTCTAGAGTCCAACTGCCAATGGAATTCTTCCCAATTGAAACTTCCTCAGCCTGGTCTTTTCTGGCTGCACCACTATCAACATTGCAGTCTTCTGAGCTCTGACCAGAATCTCACATCAAACTCAGCTTATAGTATTTTAGGTCTGCTACTCCCATTGGCATCTCAAAACTTTTCCAAACTCTTCCTGCAAACAAGTTCAAAGGTTTTTGAACTGCATGGTGAGGTAGTCACAGCAACAAAGCTACTCTATCTTAACTAAATAATTACTTTCCTCATTACTGAGACATAATACACAACACCCACAATTTAAGGAAGAAAAGATTTATTTTGTGGCACAATGTGTAGGTGTTTCAGTCTGTAGTCAGCTGGCTCCAAGGTAGGGAAGCATGGCAGAAGGACATGGCAGAAGGGATTTATTTGCTTATGGAAAGCAGGAAACAGAGAGAAAGAGTAAAGGTAAGAAAAGGGAAGAGATAAACCCTTGCAGGGCATGCCCCCAGTGACCTACCTCCTCTGACCAGGCTTCATCTGCAAACATCACATTTAGCTATAAACTTATGAGTAGATAATCCATCAATGAGTACCATGCTCCCATGATTCAATCACATCTCAAAAGCTCTATCTATAAGCACATGAAGCTTATGGGCCTCTAGATATAAATCATATCATGGAAATAAATAAGTATAGATTTCCTTAAAGAAGATATTACATGAAAAAATCCTGAGAAAAGTTTCACAGTTTGTTTCATGGTCACGATCTCTTTCATTTTTCTACTAAAAAAAAAAAAAAAAAATCAAGACACTTTAGGAAGCAAATTAGAGGGAAAACAAAATCAGAGTAGAATTCTCTGTTTGAATGTGTCACTCAGAGTCATGAAAGTATTCTATGCTTGTAAGAAGTCTGAAGTCTTTGGCATCCTTCCTAAGATCCTTTCAATCTAGTCTCAACTTTACTTGGTAGAACAAACTTTCTAATTACATCTGACAAGGAGAAAGAGGATATGTAAAATCAACAGGGTTTCCTGTTGGTCAAGATTTCTTAGAGGTACTGCACACCTCTTAGGTAGCTTGTAAATTTATGTGAGTTAAGTCCTAGCACTTGAACATCGCCAGGTCCTCAGAAACTTCCTGCTGCATAACAGTAATTCTGGTTCAGTCAATGAATTACATGAAGTCAGACGCTGCAGAGAATAAAAGTGAGTAATTGCTTTTAGTCTAGGAGAGATGAGGACTAATTGTAAGCTTGTTATGCATTATTTCAGAATCAAGAAACAGAGTGCCTTTCCTTTGATTTGCTTCACTTTTAAAAAAAGAAAAGGTATTTCTCCACCTGTATTTAGTGACATAGTCCTGCTAGAAGAAATAATAACCTTTTGGGCTTGAAATACTAATTAATCATGTATTTGTAACAATTGTGGAATTTCAGAACCAACATACTTTAATGTTTTATTTTATTTTATTTTTATTTTTATTTTTTTTTTGGTTTTTCTCCGGTACTGGGAACCAAACTCACGACCTTGCGCTTGCCAGGCAGGCGTTTTTGCCGCTGAGCTAAATCCCCAGCCCCACTTTAATGTTTTAGAAATTGGTCAATGGAAAGTAAATTGGCCTGTTCAAATAATCCTAGAATTGTCTAACCATATAGTGTAATACAACATCACAAGCTCATATTCACATATGGGACCCAGCAGTGCAGCTAAAATGCCTCTCCTCATCAGTGGTTATGATTCTGAGTCATAGAGTGCCACGGATTAAGTATTCCTGCCAGGGTACCTCCCTGGCACAGCCTCCCTGCTTCAGCCCTTGTGTGTCACTCATGTTGAAGGCTTCCAGTAAGTTGAATGAAATTTCCTACAGTATTAAGAAGCATATTTCACCAAGATTCTGAAGTCAAGTGCTTTTTGTTTCCTGAAGTACTAGTTGCCCAGATGTCTTTGGACAAGGTTTCTGGCACAAACTCTTTCAGGAAATAGGTCAAAAGGAACACCTATTTCATATTTTAAATGAAAACACACACACACAAGAACATTGCACAATAACAAGAAACAAATGGTGGGCTACTGATGACATTCAAGAGCTGCATCACTGCAACTTTATTTTGCTCATAGAGGAAATCATGAGTTTTTAGGTATTACAGCAGCAACTAATTTAGATGACTTAGTTTAACTTAATAGGCTTAAAAAGAAACATGTCAATGTTAGGAGTAAGGAAAAAACTACTTATTTTCTGTTTCTAGTTATAAGTAAAGAACTTAATGGACAGCAGATTTACAGTAGAATAAAAAACATGCTGTCCATTTCTGCCTCTGAAGAACATAACCCTGCAGTCAAATATACATCAGGAAATTAAAAATTATTGAGCTACTGACTTTGTTGTTCACAGGGTTAGCCCAGCATCACTGACTTGTCAGATATTCTCTTGAGTGCATAGAGTAAAATTCTAAAATCTGAATCTTCAAGGAATTGTAAAAAAAGAAGTATTTCTAGACAATTTACCACCCCTAACTCCTCAGAATGGAAGGGATGAGGAGTTGATACATACTTTGGTGTTACCCTAAAGCTTATTTGAAATCTTATGATTAACTTTTTTTAAAAAATTCACTTTTGAATTTTATTATAAAAGTCTGTTTTTTAACATGCAACAATTTTTGAGTTTTTTATTACACAGTAAACTTGGCACCATCTTCCAGGTGGGAGCACTTTATTTATGCTGTGATTTAGGATGCATTATTTTATTTTGGAAGAACCTTAGCAGATATCCCAGGGACAGAAATCACTTAGTGAAATATCTTTCTTTTGTTAAAAAAAAAAAAATCTTTAACACCTAGCAAAATGTATTGTTCATGTTACAGTGAGATCTGCTATTCTGATGTTTACCCAATTCATAGGCATATCCAGATAATTCCATAATATGAGGTAAATATCCCAAATGTGAGGATTGTAGAAAAACAATGAGTTGGTGGCAATGCTTTTAGCTAAACAAACTCCCTTTCTGATGGCCATCAAATGGTACCAGTTCCTGCAAGGCCTAGCACAGATAGGTCTGCCTATGTCTCCACTGTCCACTTACCACTGGGAGAAGAATGAGTTCTAGAAGTGGAGCACGTCCTTCAACTCAGTTATTGTGCTAAATACTTGTACCTTGCCTCATTGAACTATCATGATGATTGTCAGAGAAGGGCACTATTTTCATCCCCTTTTATTTTTCAGAAAACCAAGACTCAGAGACACTAGATAACTTTTCCCACATCACACAGATATTAAATTGTGGTTGCAGAGTTTTAATCCATACAACGTAACTCGAGAACATTATTTACTCCAGTAGTTTTGCTCAGTAGGTTAGAGTAAACCAAGAATACTTTGGTATAAAGTATATGTTTTTCTTTATAAGACTGTTTTCCAATAATCCCAACTACTGTTGCCTCATTTAATAGACTCTACTTTTCAAATTCTTAATCAGATCAGTCTTCAAATTCTTGGCTCATTTTTAATTTTCACTTATGGTTCCAAACCATAAGAGAGACCTTATCAGACCACATCTCATTTAAAATAGGAAAGGACATTGTACAAAGTATCCTCATATTATTACATACAGCTAAGTTAGGTAGAAATATTATAGGAGTCAGTGCAGCAGTAAGAACACATTACAACTGTGGCTGGAGGCACATTCACTGAAGGCCAAGCCTCAAGATAGAGATGGAATGACTAGACCTACATGCCTCCCTGAGGGATAAACAATATACTACAACTGACATTCTAAATAGGCCTCAGGTGATTGGAACTCCTGATCTATCTCTTCTAAAAAAGGTTCTTGTTCTTTCTACATACACTTGCTATGTGACTTGCTTCTCCATGGATCAATATTATCTAAGTGACTATATTTGTAATTGTATTGGTTGATCATAGCTTTGTCCCACCTTGTACTTGCCTTGTGATTTTGCTCTGTAAAACTTCCTGTGAGCAGTGAGCTGCGGTCAACTCCCTTTCCAAGTCTGCTCCTATCTCTCTCAAGCAAGAGCTGTCTCTCCCTCAATAAAATTCATTCTTTGAGTTTGGGGAACACGACATCTAACAGGTTGGGAGTTATAATACATTTTCCTATATCACTTGGAGGTCCTATATCAATATAATTATTGGTTTGTGACACTGGATAAGTTTTTATCTTCTTTAAATTTCAGCTTATTCAGTGACATGTCTTCCTATCAGGATACAGAAAGAAAATATCTTGCATGATATTGATTTGTATTTAGGTTTATTGTGGTTCAGAAATGAGCACTTATTCTAAATTTAATTTTCAAACAATAGCTATTTTTCAGTCTCTACCTTTGGGCTGATTTGACACAATGAATATCAATAACTACTGCAATAAGATTTCTAACACATATGAAAATTAATCTTAATGAAATCACTGGTATTGGCAGTTATGACCATTAAATTTGTTAAGTCCTAGAGGAAAGATGGATGTTTAAATTGAAATTACATGTTGGACCCAGAAATGACAGGAAAAATTTTCACTTTTCACAGATTTGATCATATAAGTATATTTTAACCCAACATTATTTCAACAAGATATTTTATAATTTCATTTCAATGTTCCCAATGAAATACATTACAATTTACTAGAATGATATAAATGCATATGCATATATATGTATATATATATGCACACACAGAAAATTCATGTTTGTACATATATATACACACATACACATGCACATTATTCTTTTTGAACACTAAGCAATTTTGAGCTATTTTTAGTAAATTAATTATGATTTTTAAATGCTCAACTATTAATCAGTACTTACTATTTTGCAAGACCCAATGGATTATACTCATAGAAGATATAACTGAGACCATACACAGAGAGATGAGATGTACCCAAGAAAGGCATTCTTTGGAAAGATGAAAACACTTAGTGGAAGCAAAGGAGTCCCAGCAATGTCTAATGGGCTTGAACTGTGACCCAGCAATAATATTTTTCTAGAACTCAATTGTATGATTTTGAAACTAAAACTAAGACATTATGAAACTTAAAAACAGAGTGAGACAGGATTTTGGTATATTTACTTAGTAATAAACCACTCCAAATACATAAATAAATTACCTCAAACTCATAAATGAGAAGAAGAATTCCTTGGCTAATGGGTTGTGGCGCTGAGATTTGATAGTCTGCAACCTCATAGCTCCGCCACCTTATTTTTGACCTTCATTAAGCTCTTTAACATTTATCTTCAAGTTTTAGTTGCTGCATTCCTCTAGTTAGCAATATATACAATCATCCCTGCAGGCCTCTTACCTTGCTCCTGTCCCTGGAGCTAGATGTAATAGTTTACCTGTACTGTGTTCTAGGCAAGCAACCCTCTTTGGGCAACATTCTTGTCCTACCTGTTCCTACACATTCTGGATAGGGACTCAATTAGTTGTTGAATTGATTCCTTTAAACGTTAAACCCACTCATCTGTTCCTTTCTCTGGAATTCTCAAGACCACTGAGACACAGCTGCTCATTTGTTGAAGTTAATGGGTGAAAATGGTTCTTGACTGTAGGAGGTTTGTTCAACACCAGGCAAGGGAGAGACAAGAACTCTTAGGCACATCTCTGGTTCCAGTCTAGGAAAAACAACATGAACACTATTTTATGCACATTTACTCATAAAACAATGCCGAGTTCTTTATTAGATTTGATGTTCGGTGTACAAACATCCTAATTCAGCTTAAAATAGCCCACACACATTCCATTTCTAAAACTATTTCCCTCCTTTTCCTTCCCCTCCCCATTTCCTCTTGCACGTCTTTTTTTTTTCTGTCTTATTTCTCCTTTTTCTCTTTACCATAGTTTTCCCTCTATTGAAAAAAGGAAGGTAAATAAAACTTATCTTTAACCATCCTTTAACCAGCAGTCATAAAGGAAGCGATCCTTCCACAAGCATAAGCAGAGCCCTCAGTGGGGCGTGGCGGGGACGCCCCCCCTTAGGGCCAAGGACCTTAAGGGGAAGTCCCGGAGTTTTGAGCTCTGGAAACCGGGATATCAGCTACGCTCACTTTCAGACAGCCTGGCGGGTTTGCGCAGTCGGTCCAAGCAGCAGCCCTCCTTTAAGGGATCAACAGCCCAGGCACTTCTACAGTGCCCTTCCTGTCCAGACTCTGGAAAAGCTAGGGGTGTGAGGGCGGAGCCACTGGGCTGGCAACACCCTCACCAGGGTCCAGCCCTTGCCAGTCTTTCACCACCTTAGGGATTTGGCACGGAGAGAGAGATCACCCTCTCAATGAAAAGGCAGATGTCCCTTTAAGGTTTGCCTTGCTGGCCGTGGACTTTAGCCTAAAAAAGGACCCGCGATGCTGGCTTTATTTGTCCATGTCTCGGTCAGAGCCTGGGAAGCTTGCCAGTGAGATTTTCGACTGAAAGCGCGAAGGAGCGGACGAGGAGCGGACGGCCGTTTAGGAGGTGAAAAGTGTGCTGCCGATTTAAAGGCTTTCGACCGAAAGACAAGAAATCACTCCTCTGCCGTGTCTGGGCTGTGTGGTCGGCGGGCCGAGGACGGGACGCGCAGCCCGAAGAGGTGGTCCAGAGCACGGCGGTGCTCAGTCCTGTCCGTGCCTGACACGCGCGTCCCAGGCTATTGCGGCTCCAGCCATGGCCCCCCGGCGCCCGGGCAGCCCAGAGGTCGCTGTCGCCTGCTTATGGCTTCTCATGGGTAAGGACTCCGTTTTGCTTTCAGCATTTCGGGCGTGGGGAGCCGGGAGCGAGGCACAGGGCACCCATACGCTCGGCCGGGCGGGTGGCCCGGCCAGGTGAGCAATACAGTGAGTCTCTGCTTTGGGTTTTGATAGGAATTAGTTCCGGTGTGGCTTCAGCCTCTCCAGCCCAGCAGTAGGAATGAGGCAGTGCTGAAAACTTTCTTTCACCTGGTATAACTAGATTTTCAAATTAAAGTTGTGTTCACCATGTGCACTGTATTTTAGGACTTGGCTGAATGGCTTTTCCACACCTTTTTGTGAGGGATAACGAAGGGTGACCGGTTCATAATCAAAGTTCCAACCCTCAGGCTGTTCTGGAGTGGACATTCCAGCATTTTCTTGCAGTCTAGTATTTAAGAGACTCCGCTAAATCTACCCTAATAGATTTAGAATGCAGTGCAAAATTCTTTCCTGTCCTGACACTATGCTTTTGTCAGCAACCAAGAGGACAAACATTTTGAAACTGAGAAATAGTGAACAGCACAGGCTATTTTTTAAGATGCAAAATAATATTATTTCATATAGGTGTGTTTTTTTAAAGTGGAATTTTAAAAACACAGTAAACATGTGAAATTATATCCAATTCAGAGGACTGCCTCATTCTAAGATTTTCCTAATGATTAAGCCTTGGTCAGATCTTTCTACAAGTCCCTGGGGCTTAGAAGGTAAAGTTGAAATGGTGAGGGAAGGTAAAGGAGTGGAAGCATTGGGGTGAAAGCTGTAAGTGAAAGAGAATGACCTGATTAACAGCTTCATTAATGGCTGGCTTTAGCATATCACTGAGGCTCAACTGTTTGATGTCCTCAATTGTTTGATTTTTTTACTGCTGGCATGCGTATTAATGCTTATTAGTGTTTACCCTTAAAAATAAGAGGAAGCCATCCAGTTTAATCCTGATTGAGGTGACCAAGCACTGTTAACTTTTATGAAGATTACTTAAAAGGGATTATTAGCACACAGAGGTTTTTTTCATTGTAAGGTGGTGTTAATAGTTAACGATGAGCTAATGGCTTTTCATCCAGTTTCCACTTCTCCAGAAATGCCCAGTGATACAGACAGTGGTAACTTCTAAACAGCATTACAGCCAGTGAGTAGTTTAATTTACCAGCTACTGTCACTATGCTTTACACATGCTCAATTTATGATTCAACCTCAACCCAAATTTTTGGAGATAGTCTGCGTTTTGTTGTTTTTATCATGAAAAGTCTTAATAATTCCACAACAGTTCATTTTGTAAATAAGGAGGGGAAGAGGGGTTAAAGGGAGAGGAGGGGAATGGGAGAAAAAGAAGCAGAAGCAAGATATTATGGTACAAATTCCCTACAATGAATGTTATCATTCACTATATCTAAAATGTACCAATAAAAAAATTACCTTAAAAAACCAGTCCAAATTATATCTTTTTTTCAATTTGTCAAAGAAGTAATCACAGTGCAGGAAATTATCTAATTAGTTTTGGTATCCTCTAAAAAGAAAAAGAAACTTTAAGAAGGGAGGGGATGGTTAACAAATTATAATGTTCATACACGTTAGTACAGTAAACGTTGCTGAATCTGAGGAGGGACTTATAGGAAAATAATCCAAGCTTTTTAAAAATTATATTCGATTCTTTGTGTGCTAGAGTAAATGACTGAATACTGAAATTTAGAACTGAAAAAAGTATTACTGACAGCATCAGCAAGTTCCTCATACATGCTATAAATTAGTCCCATTTCAAAATCTAACACTAAGGATCTGAAATTTGATTGGTTCCTTTTCTTTGCTGGTTTACCTTTCAGTCAGCAATATTCTGGCAGTTTTTTTCCTTATATTTGGAAACTTGTCATTAATTCATGGAATCAACACCTAGTCTGAGTTCTCATCAGTGTACCATCCATGCCTACTACCACAGAGCTTATCTTTTTAAAGATAAACTCGTTGAACCCAATCTCTAATCTACCATTCTAATGCATCATTCTCATTGTATCTAATATTTTAGTCAAAAATCTTTTGTAGTTCTTTATTGCCTCTCAAATAAATCCCAAAGTTTTCAACAGATCATGCTAATCTGGCCCTTTTTCTGATTACCACTGTATCAGTTTCCTATTGCCATTGCAACAAACTGCCATATATTTACCAGTTTAAAACAACATAAATTTACTATATTACAGCTCTGTACATCATAGGTTTTTCTACGCTAGAATCCAGGTGCTGCCTGGGCAATTTCTTCTGGAGGCTCTAGACGAGAATCAGGTTCTTTCCTTGTTCCAGCATTGAGAGGCCACCTGCTTGGCTTTCTCCACTCTCAAAGCCAGCAAGACATCTCCTTCTGTGACTCTAGTACTACTGCCTTCCTAAGGACTCTATTATTTACACTGGGGTTATTTCACCAGAATAGTCTCTCCTATCTTGAAATCTTTAATCATATCTGGCAGGTCACTTTTGCCATCTAAGTAACATATTTACAGATTACAGGGATTAGGACAGGTCATCTTTGAAAGATGAATGTTATTCTGCCTACCACATCCCATAATTTAACATCTCTACTATAGTCAATCACATTTCCTTACCCTCCTCTAAATCCTCCTGCTCATTTGTATTATGCATCTAGAAAAGAACTCCACCCTTCCTTCCTTCTACCCCCTGCCATCTAAACAAACTCTCACTAGCCTTCAAAGCTGAGTTTGTATCACAACAAACCACTACTATTCCAATAAACTTCCCACTGGGGAAGGTCTTTTATTAGATTCTTTACATGTTTATTAAATCATCTGTCAAGGAAGACACTCTCTACTATGTCCAAATAAAGTCCTTATTGATAGTTTACACAGGCCAAAGTCCCAGCATAAACTAGTGGCACATACAGAAGATTTAACTGAAAAAAGTAATAAAAAGGGAGAGTTTAGAAAGGCCTTAAGGAAACTAAGAAAAGATGGAGAGCACTTAGAACAGCAACAACGGGGAGGAAATACTTGAAGTAACAGTGGGAAGAAAAACCATGACCATTCCTAGGTCTGAGTTTGACTGTGAACTCTAAGGATGAGAGTTGGGCTATGGGACCAGAGCAGTGTGGCTACAGGGAGAAGAAAGCAGCTCATGCCAAAACTGAAGGCCAGCAAGGAATGAATAGGGAAAATAACCATATTTCCCTCTGCCTTGTAACGTCTGATCCAGCCTTGCCACTGGCCATACCCAGATGGTAGGATTCAGCCTTCCAGAGGACAAATGTCAATAATAGGGAATAACAAGCACAGATCAATGTTACAATGTACTGGGTGTAAGGCCCTATGCCAAGAACTTTGCAAGTTTTATTTCGTTTTAATCTAAAAAAATGAAGGTTTCAAACTATTATCTGTATCAGAGGTGAAGAAACCAAAGTATGAACAAATTAATATCATTTGTCCAAAGTCACATTAGTAGAGAAAAGTACTCAATTCATATCTCTGACCTCAGATTTGATAGGCTAAAATGTGCCTAAATGTGTTTGTCACCTTTTTGCTTACTGCTCTTTACATCTGTGAAACCCAAACTTAATTTTCTAAAAGACTTTGATAAGGATCTAGTTAATGATGCAAGTGTTACTTCTGTGTCATTTAGGTATGTAGTCAAATGAGATGACCTACCCTACTTTAAATATACCTCAAATAACAACAATTTCTGTTTATTAGGAAGACATTAGGAGTGATCAAAATACTGTATGCCATAAATACTTAAATTTTTAAAAAAATTTCATTAAAAGATACATTGCCCAACACTAGGGAGACTGAGGCAGGAGGATCACTGCAAGTTCCTCCAAATTTCCCTCCAAGTACTCCTCCTGGGTTCAGACACACATTTCATTCTTCTTGCTTCTTTCTGAAGCAGTTCTTAAAGTCCTCTTTTGTGAGTGTCTTTATGAGGGATGATCCAAGTTACAGAGAATGCTGGTGAATGCCATCACAGGGAAAGACAGGCCGGTAAAATATTCTGGTGTGTTCTCTCCTACCTTATTAAATGGATCTGGCACTATGTGATCTCTGGTTCTTCTGTAAAGTCACAACAACATTAAAAAGTAAACATTTTGAATTGATTCAGGATATCTATGCAGCCATAAGGGCACAACTGAGGACACTCATGCATGAGGTCTTCCAGAACTGCTTCAGGAAATGCCAAGAATGATGGAATAAGCATGTTTGGAGTGAGGGGGAATATTCTGAGGGGGATTAATGGCAATTTTTTTTACTGTAATAAATTATGTAAAGTTTGGCACTCACCGTATTTTCTAGTCTTATCACATATATCCCTGAATTACCCTGGAGTTATACGTCTTTCCTTTCTAGAAATACTTTGGCCTAGGAACAAGTATTGTCTGTGATGTTTTTTACAGGCAAGATTTCCTATTCAAAATGCAGTGAGGATCTGATGGCTGAATATGGGGTAAAAGTCACTTACCCAAAGAAATGGCCAGAGTGCTTTGTTAGGGTTATTAAAGATGGTGAAAATTTTCTTAGTCATTATGGGATCTGTCAAGGGTACAGTGCTTCACGGGATTTTGTTTTCTCTTCAGTAAAAAGGCAATGAGAGTAACAGTGAAATCTACATGCTACTTTGGTTTACAGGATGTTTACTTAGCTAGTTTGATCATGAACTCTTGGGCCACTATTAATCATTATTGATCTTACCTCTTTAGGTGGATACACCTCTACCTTCTTTGTTCTCCTACCTCCAACCCAAAACACTTCCCATTGAGACATAGAACTTCTATGTACCCCTTTAAAATAGCTGAATAGAACAGAGTAGTAACAGGGATCAATTACCACTCTTTACCTCACTGCATTTGTTGTATGAAACAGAAAGTGGTGTGACTGAATTCATGTTAAGAAGAAACTGAGATGAAAGATATTTGAATTGTTTCCACACTGCTAAATCAGAATAGATTGCCTATTCAGGGCAGTCTGTGACTGGAGAATTGTATTTGCTTTCAAAACAAGTACAGAAA